CTTGTGGCCCACAAGTTCATAATATGGGGTGGATGTGGAATCATGTGCGGCCCAAAATGAAGTCCAGCACAAATGCTGAGCATGATTTTTTATTAATACTTTCATGATTGAGGCATAGAAGGCTGGAGTGCTCTAGACTCCAAGTAGCAAGAAATATTGTATTCTAAGTTTTTGCTTTCTCATGCCAAAAGACTCTATGCTCCCCCTGGAGCATATCTTACAGTCAATTCTGTTCCTAGGCTTAGTTTTAGAACCTCAATTTAGGAGTTTTAAACCGAAGAACCAACTTACAAAAAAAAAAAAAAAAAAAAGAAAGAAAGAAAAGATGTAATTATAACAAAAAAATCAATCAGATGAATTCTATATCAGCCAAAGAAAAAAAAAAAACGTCCAATTGAGATCATCCAGGTCCAGTTTAGGCTGTTGACCAGCCTAGCGATTTTAGGCATCACATTTAACTTTGGCTCAAACTTAGTTATCTTTAAAATGTTAGATCCAAGTGTTTATAAATTCAATTTTTTTTTTTAATGAAATGCCTATTTTTGTAATTCTAAGGTGGATCTCAAAATTTCTGAGTGAGAAAATCTTTACAAGTCTTTTGCATGAGGGAACACGTAGTATAGTATGCTCCATTGGGAGAACACTATACTCCAGGTCCCATGATCGTTCCTAAGTTTTCACACCCTCTCTCTAATCACTACATCTCCCTTACATGAACTGGGCCTACAATGCCAGGCCTGAGGCCCGGTCCCCAAGCTTTAGATTCAGGTCTGAACATACCTGACATGAAAACCCATGGGCTGGTCTAGCCTGTTTGGCAGCCCCATTATATATCTCTCTCCAAGAATTATTACATCCCCGGTGTGCGATGAAACAATGGAAGATGAAACAATGGAATCAGCCCCGAATAGTCAGAGGCCCAATTTTGATTCACTCGGTCCGATTTGGGAGCTCCACGAGTCAAATCGGGCAACGGTTGACAAAGAAACCAAAAAAGGTTGGAAAATAGGACAATTTAGGTGTTTTCCGAATCAGAATCCTCCACTCCTGATCCTGATCTGACTAGGAAGATCTGATTCGAATCTGCAATTCTTAGATCACCATTCCCAATCACTTTTTGGAACTTTAAATGATTTTAGAACAGCATGGATAGTAGAAAAAGTGAAGTGCATGGACTGAAAACCTTGTATAGGTTAATATTTTTTCTCCCAAGGCCAATTATCATGGATGGTAACTTTGGAAACATGATATATTAGGATAATTTGTGCACTGCTACAACAGCAAGTGAATTTACAGCATCTAAATGACTATTTTGAATACTTAAATCGTGTCCAATGATTAGAATTCTCCTTAAAAGACTGTTTTGGATGACACTTTTGAACATGAATTGTTTTTTACAACTATCTGCTTAGAACTGTGACAGCAATTAGACCTGGAGGAATTAAAGAATATAAAGCCCGAAGCCATTGCAAAATGATTAGAAGTTGGGTGCAGTTTTTGTAGGGATACTTGAATAAGTCACACCTCAAGCTGCCCATGGAAATTACAATTCTGGCATTGGAAACCCTTTGCAATAGTCTGTAAAACTATTTCTGCTTCTGATTGTGTAATTTGAAGCTTGTATTGTGAACACATGTAAGGGATGGCCTATAAAACATGCTGGAAGGTAGGCTACTTCTAGAGCTCAAACCCTTTTGTTTTCCTTCCATTTTATTGTCAAGATTGAGATAATCAAAGTGCAAAATGCTGCAATTACATTTTCTGACAAGATTTAAGGTAAGGCTTTGATAAATTCCTTTGGATGCTTCGCAATCCAATCATATCATTGATGCAAGGAAGGCCATGTGCCTAGAAAGGGTTATTCAGGACAGAAGTCTGAGCCATTATTGTACTTCACTAAAAAGAAAACCCCAAAATAACTCAACATGATTCCCTATTTAATGCAAAACCTCAAACCTTCCTTTCTAGCAATGTAGCATTAACATCATGGTTTTAGCTCCATATAGACTTGGAGTACATAGAAAACAGGCTTCTCCTTTATTGAACCCAAATGGAGATGAATTGAAGGAGGGACAGAGTACAAAAGAATACTTTGGACCGCCCTGCAAAGATACCATATAAACCATTATTCTACTCCTATGACTACTAGGAAAGAGATACAAATTGGCCCTCCTTTATGCATCCAAGCTTTTCTTATTTTCACCTCTTACAAACTACCCAAAAAAACAGAGTCACTCACAATTACAAATCCCATTCACCAAAACTACTCTTCTTTCTTTACATCAGAGTTCCAATAATACATATTTTTCTCTCTTTTTCTGTGTATATACTGAAAATTCAAACAAACTAGGCTACTGAGATGGAAGCCTCTCTATAAATGACTGTAGAATAAACCAAGAAATGGTATTCACAGAGTCTTATGGCTCTGGGGGAAGGAATTCTTCTTCTTGATGCTTCTCCCATCATAAAGAATTTGAGTGTTCTTTGCACTTATGCATCTTCTTGGATGAGAAAGAAACTGAACAAATGTGAACTGACAATGAGAAGCACAAAAGTCGACGCAGAGAGATATCACGGCTGCCTAAGAGTGAGGAACAAAGGTGCCGATATAGCCAAAGCCCATGATGAAGAAGGCCATAGCTTGAAGGTAGAGATAGATGAAGTAGTGGTTCTTTCCGAAGGCTAGGTCATAGCATGCACAGAAGAAGAGATAGGCTCCCACTCCCAATTCCAAGAGATGCAACCTACAAAGGTTCAGACCATCAAGAATCAATGATTAGATAACAGAAGTTTACTGCTGTAAAATTTGTACAAAAATACGATAGGACAGTCTTTGTCCGGAAAGCTGGCTGGGAATTAGCTTGCAACAATGTCACGTATTAATTGTGGCGCAACAAACACAACTAGTACCAGCTTGTGACTTACCTAGGCTCACTTTGAGCCATCCAATCAAAGATTAGATGGCTGTGGGTCTCCTAGGCACAAATTTGTAAGTGTGGGGAGACACAAAGAATGGTTTTCCAATAAGATATGGGTTCTTTATGTTGAAGCTTTTAAAACTACCTTGAATCAAATCTTGATAAGAGATTAGTTGATAGTGGAATTCTGAAGAAATAAGATATGGGTTCTATCTAATGAGCCTTTTGGATTGGTGGGTTCTTACTTGCCGCCTATTCTGATCCAGAATTTTTTAACTGATTTGCCCCCCGCTTTGCCTTTTAGAGCATCTCCAAGCTTTTCGGTCACAACCCATTCATTAACTCTCCTTGCTTCAGCCAAACCGATAAAGGTTGCCTTTGTTCGGTGTAGAGACATCACATTCTCGAAGAGGATCCAGAAAACCACCAAGTGAAGAGACCTGAAAACAAAACAGATCATGCAAGGAAGAACCTCAGAACATGAAAGAGAGAGAACATTTGAGAGAGAGAGATGAGGGAGAGAGACTGAGTGGTGGACCTTGGGCTGCTCAATGCATTAAGGATGGTAATGGTGGAAGGGATATAAACAGCTCCCCACTTTGGGATTTCAACTTCAGGGACAAGAACAGTGGCCGGGATCACCACACAGTAGAACACGAAGGTGACAATGTGAGCCACGATCTTTCTCACGAAGAAGAAGTTATAAATGACATGAATCTTCTTCCAAAGAGACACTCTCTGCAAAATTTTAACAGGAAAAACTCAATAATGGGTTCATCCACTGTTTCATAAATTAGTAGAAGCAAAGGACAAAGGAAGAAATTTAGAGGGATTTCTATTTGAAAATTATATTACCTTGTTCCTGAAGATCTCCATGGCCATCTTCCTAAAGAGGTTAGCAGGACCACAGGACCACCTATGTTGCTGGTACCTGTATGCTTTGAAGGTACTTGGCAACTCGTTCTTCACCTATAAATTCACCAAATTATACTTAGAGAGAGAGAGAGAGAGAGTTGCTTAAGCATGCCTATGAAGAAAAATTTAATTGATGAGTGACTTTTTTTTTGGGAAATTCAGTGGGGAAGACTGGCCCCTACCTGTTTTTTCAAATAGTTTAGGAGAGTTTTTAAGGTGTTAGTGAAGTTTTGTTGGTGGGAATGAAAACTACAACGTGGGTACTAGGGTGTAGCGGTGCTACCACAACACCCTACCCCTTTCCCAAAAAAGAAAAGTTGATGAGTGACTTGCTTTACTAAGAAATGGAAATCCTTGTTCCCATGAAATTCAGACATTGACCTAGTAAGCATTTGCTAGGCACAAACAGAACTAGGATGGGTGACTTCCTACCTACATCTAAACTCAAGCCAACTCTTTCAAATCAAATATGAGAGGGGGGGAGAGAGAGACAGTAGCGTCCGTGGAGAGAGAAAGAGAGCACTTATAATCGAGAATACTGCATGAGGTAAGGAGAAAGACAGTTATAATAGAAAGAAATTGTGAGGTATAGAGAGAAAGAGAGAGAGAGTTCTAACAGAGAGGGACAAATGTGAGAGAGAGCGAATTGAGAGTTACTGTAGTAATATACCTTGAGGTCTCCCAAATAGACAAATTTCCAGCCTTTGAGACTAGCTCTCACAGCCAAATCCATGTCCTCCACTGTGGTCCTATCTTTCCAGCCTCCTGCCTCATTCAGAGCAGCAATTCTCCATACACCAGCAGTCCCTGTTAATTCAAATTTAACCATCCCAAAAAGACTCAATTCCCACGTTTAATCACCACATAAACTACAAAATGCCACACAAAATCCCACCTACCCTGTCCCTCAGTAGTTATAAGGTCCACTCAGGTATGGACTTGCTAGAGTTCTAATCCCAAATCACCCAGTTCGACTAGAGTGAGATATTTGCTTATATTGTCACAAAAAGGACATGACATTTGCATTGATATTTAAAAAACATAAACACTTTATAAGTCTTGTTGAATTTCTCCACCAAATATCCAACGCCCATTTTTAACTTTCAGAGTTCATTTGGGGCCTCGTGATAATCGAACCCTAAATTCCGAACTCTCCCTTCATTTAAGGGACCCGAGATCATGCCCAATCTGAAAGAGGCCAATTCTGAAGTTGACACTTGATAATGTCGCTCACAAATGTATCGCCCAATCTGAAAGACAAATTCTGAAGTTGACAATTGACAATATCGCTCATACACCCGTCCATGTTTATGTTTCATAAACAAAAACAATACCCAACAAAAAAGGAAGTGTTTTCACCCTCTCTTTCTCTCTCCCCCCATTGACTGATACACCCAAGTCCGAAAAACCGATTCCGAAATTGACACTTGACAGTTGACACTACTCACACTCATACGAGTATCCGAGTGATAGACAGAAACAACACAAAAAAGAAAAGCTTCTCTCTAAAACTTACCATTGAAGCCAAAGAATGCGTAGGTGGAAGAACCCACTTCCTGCTCCACTGTAAAATGGTAGTCGAGAGACATCTCTTGCATCCTTGTCATCAAACATTCGTCCGAATTCACTGAAATAATAGAAGGAAATAATCATTAATAACCATGATGATCTTAAAATTTCTTTCAATATAAAACTTTGCCAAAATTTATTGGTGTATGCATTTAACATAGAAGAACGGGAATCACCATTCGTGTAACTGACTTTAATTAATTTAATTAAAAAAAAACTTTGGCAACGATGAAAGGGATAAAAATAATAGACCCAAAATAAATATCCCTGTAATAAATTAAGACTTTTCAAAAGCACTATAAAAATAAGAAAAAAACTTGAAATTTCAAATCCGGGGATAACCAAAATGGCCCATAATTGAATAGCGGAGCGAAAACTCACGAAAGCAGCCGTAAAATACTCATCTTCGGTGGGGGAAAAGTGTCGGCTGTGAAAACCAACGAAAAGTCGACACGTTTTATACTTCCGCAGGATCATACTGTCGATTAACTCCCTGGGTAAAATTAGGAAAGTAATATTTGAACAAATTTTGGGACGTACCTCTGCTACACAAGCTAAACTCAATAAAAAAAAATCCCAAATCTCCACAGCCCACACTATCACTAAAAAAAAAAAAAAAAAAAACAAATCTCAATATTAAGGGTCACGTTTGATAAGGTCGCAACCTTAAACAATCAAAATAAGGTGTCCGTCCAAACTTTATCATAAGATACAATTTTTGTACCAATAATCTTTGGGATGACTTGAGAATCTATTTTCATATCTAATTAAAAATTTTAAATTTAAAAAATAATTCAGATCAAGTAGATCTATGAGCGCATCAAAATCTTGGAAATGGTCAGTCCAAATATAATTTTGTAAGATGTACTATTTTTTAAACTTAAAATTATTATTTTTCATATCCATACGACTCGATGATCAATTAGACGTTTTTCTAATACCACAATAAAATTTTTCGATGGAGTTTTGAGGTGCACCTTAGTTCTACAAAATTCAAATTTTATATAATGAAAATAATCAGGTGGGTCAGATTAGAAAATGCGTCCTGAGTAGGTCTCATGTAGGGGTTTGGGTCAGGTCCCGGACCCAAAAAAAAAAAAATTTATAGGACCCAGATCCGACCGGACGCGAAGTTATCGGACCCATACCTGGATTGTATGGTATAGTCATCAGGTGGTTCAGATTAATAGTCTTGTGTTGTATACTGTAGAGTATTCATCCCCAGTGTGCTAAGAAAGAAAAAACAACCTTAAAATTTCAAAACCACAGTAAATATTGACCGAAAAATAGGGGAACGAAAAGTAGCCGAAAAGTGCATGTTTCGGTGGAGTAGTGTCGGTGGAGAGACAACTCATCAGTGATAAAAAGAATAATCGCACGTGGGGCGTACTGTGTAGATGTAAGAAAATCCAAAAATAGAAATAATGTTTTTTCATTATTTTATCTGAAGGTGAAAGAGAGTAAAAAAATTTAAAAAAAGGGAAAAAATTTCTCTCTATAAAAAATCTCTCAATAAATGTGCATGGTCCTACAAATTACCGTTTTATAAGTAAAATGTTAATTTCCTTCTCATACTTAAAATTCTTTCTCTCTCTAAAAATTTATCTCTCTAGAAAGTGTGCATGGGCCCTCACACAAAAAGTTGTTTATTCTTGAGTGGGCGGAGAGGGGACTACACTGCACACTTTTATATACGGATATTAGAGAGAGAGAGTGAGTGTGTTTTCAGTGTAAAGTTTTAGAGAGAGAAAAAAGTAGAGAGAGAAAGGGGTGTGTTTAAGTCGTACACTGCGAACTCTGCAAGTTGGTGGGTCGCACTCTCTCTCCTCCCATTCAATCATAAATCTCGCCACAAAACTCGCTCAAACCTAGAGAGAGAATAAAGAGGAGAGAGAAAAAAACAGAAAAAACAGCCACCGACACATTTCTGAGCAATCCCGGGATTCGAACCCGAGACCTCCCCTGGACACCCAGTGGCCTAGAGAGAGAAACTAGTACAAAAAGAGTACTAGAGAGAGAAAGTAGTAAAAAAAAGACTCCTAGAGAGAGAATAGAAAGTCTTACAGGGATAAAATGAGAGCGACTTGAACAAGAGAGAGGTTGAGAGAGGTCAAGAATAAAGGCAAGGGAGAGAGAAAGAGGTACAAAGAGAGATAAAACAGGGAAGAGAGAGAAAGAGGAGAGAGTTTCGAGAAGAGGAGGCGTCAACAAACAGAGCCCATAAATGGGTTTTCCCGGTTTCCAAGCCTCGAGACTTCGAGTCTCTCTAGACTTTAGAGAGAGAAACAGGGGAAAGCGTGTGTAGAAGAGTTGTCTCATGCCTGTCGGTAAATAAAGCCCTTTAATAAGAGGAGACAAAACCTTAATCACTGAAAAACTTTCCCCATTTTTATAACTCAATTTCCAGACTTCTAGAATCGAGAAGTAAGATATATAGACCACAGAACTAGAAACCAGTAAATGTAACATGGATTCTAGAGAGAGAAAGTAAATATTTATTGAGTTTTAGAGATGTTAGAGAGAGGTGATAGATGAATGAATGAAGTGGGTTTTAATGAAAAGGCTGCTTTAACCCAATGTAGAGAGGCCTTCTATAGAGAGAGAGGCATTGAGTCTTAGAGAGAGAATAAGCGTATTGGTTAGAGCGAGAGAGATAAATGAAAAAACCAGGCTCTACTCCATCAGAAACAGAGAGAGAGATGAATGAACACGATGGGCTTCACCCCAATTGTAGAGAGAGAAACAGGCATTGTAGAGAGAGAAAGAGAAATGAAACAAAAACAAATGAATGGGGTTGGTTACCGAATTTCCATCGAGCCTGAACAAGGCCAATCTCTGGATTGTGAATCAAGAAAGGGATTGTTCTCCAGAGGAAATCTGGTTCAGGTTGGAAATCGGCATCAAAAATGGCGACGTAGTCGCAGTCTCGCACATAGCCATGCTTCATTCCTTCTTTGAGAGCTCCAGCTTTGTAACCGTTCCTGTTGTCTCTGATCTCATACTTTATATTGATCCCTTTGCTTGCCCACCTCTGGCACTCTAGCTCCACAAGATCCTGCCATTGTTTGCCCACAAAGCTTAGAAAACAGAGTTTCTCTCTCTAAAACATGTTCTTTCTCTCTCTAGAATGTGGGAGCAATCAAAGGAGAGAGAGGTTCCCAACAAAGCCAAGAAAGCAGAGCACTTTTCTATCTCTCAAACTTAGAAACAGAGGACTTCCCCTTCTCTCTCTCGAATATGGGAGCAATTAAGAGAGAGAATGACGGGTTCACAAAAACGGAGAACTTTCCTGAATCTCAGGCTGAAAAGTAGAACACCTCTCTTTCTCTCTCTAGGAGCAGTTAAGAGAGAGAGAGAGGTGGGTTCAAAACAAAACTCGAAAAACAGAGCAATATGAGCAGTTCAGAGATGCGAAATTCACTCATCAAGCAGAAGAAAATTGCGAAATTTACAGAGGACCAGTGAGTAGTTTAGAGGGAGAGAGAGGAGAGGGAAATTTGCATGGGAGCAAACCTTGATCGTTGGATCAGTAGAATCATCCAGCACTTGAATGATGATGCGATCCGACGGCCATGAAAGCCCACATGCAGCTCCAATAGACAGTTGGTAAACCTGCAGCAAAGAAAACCCATTACTTCTCTCTCTAAAAACTCATCCTCTCCCCCTCTAAAAGTGCAAGCTTTCACGCACAATGCAGGTAAAGCTAGCTGGTTTTTTGCCTAGAGAGAGAAACAGTAAGAGCATTTACCTCTTTCTCATTGTACATAGGGATCTGAACCAGAACCATGGGATAATTCGCATTGCCGAGCTCCAAATCATCTTTAATGGCTTCCCATTTGTAACGCTTCCCTGGTTTTTTACCAAAGAGTTTAACAAGCACTATAACCACTGCCATATAAACTCTCTCCATGAAAAGCATCAGAGACATGATTAAGCACAAGAACACTGCTAATTTTAGCAGAGGAACAATCAATGGAGCTCTGATCTGTTGCCAAATAATGGCCATTTGATCAGTAATGTCATCTCCTGTTCCTTGAAAAGCCTCTGGTAAGAGGCCGGTCCGTGAAAGCCGGTCCATTTGGAGCTAGAGAGAGAAACAGAGAGATGGATCGTCGAGAATTTTCTCCCTCCCCTGTTCTATTGGCCTGAAACTAGAGAGAGAAACAGAGAAATGGGGTGTGACAATTTTCTCTCTCCCCTGCTTTTTTTGGCCTGAATCTAGAGAGAGAGGAAAGAGGGAGTGACTTGGAGCAATGCCTCAAGAATGGGTCAGATCTATGAGGATTTAAAGGGTAGAGAGAGAGAGAAATGACCCACCATCACCACCACCACCACTTTGCAGAATTTGCTGCTCAATTACGCAATGGAGTGTCAGAGATAGAGAGAGAAACAACACTCCATTCGATCACATTGCCATTGGCAGAGCCTTAAAGCTGAAAGCTTCCCCCAAAATTAGAGAGAAGATAAACAGCAATAAATTTCTCCTCTAAATCTAGCAAAAACTCATTCAACGGCAGTTTTGAAGGGCGAATCTTTGTACAGCTCTTTCTCTCTCCAAATATAGCTATGTTTCCCTGTCTAACTCCTCTTTTGATTTGTTTCTATCCCTGCAATTCTGAATCTCCACTGAGCAAGTTGGGGCCTTTTATAACTGGTTCTGCTTCTGAGAAGGCATGGAGAGGACCCCTCTAAAAAGCTTCCCTTTCTGCTTTAAATGGCTAATGCCTGGTTTTGGGTCTCTGGTTTTCTCGGCCCTCTGGTTATAATGGCTCCTCGTCTCTCTCTGCTTTGCTTTTTTTTAGAGAGAGAAAGAGTTAGAGAGAGAGAGGGTGCAGAGAGAGCAGCCAACTCTGAGACTGGTGTTAGCGTGGGGGTGAGCGTGTTTATATATAAAAAGTAGGGTTTTATTAACTGATGGAGGGCTGGGAGAAGGTGGGGGCAGTCGGTAGTCTTTCTCTCTCTAACTTCTTTCTCTCTCTCCTCTCTCCTCTCTCTACCCACTCCCTCTCTTTCTCTCTCCTCTCTCTACCCACTCCCTCTCTTTCTCTCTCCTCTCTCTACCCACTCCCTCTCTTTCTCTCTCCTCTCTCTACCCACTCCCTCTCTTTCTCTCTCCACCCACTAACTCTCTCTTCTCCTCTCTCAAACCCTTTTCTATCTCTAACTCTTCCTCTCCTCTTTCTCTCTCTAAATCTGCCCCTCTCCTTGTTCTCTCTCATCTTTCCCCCTTTCGTTTCTATTTCTCCCATTTCTATTTCTCTCTCTAACTCCCTTTACGTTTCTATTTCTCCCATTTCTATTTCTCTCTCTAACTCCCTTTACGTTTCTATTTCTCCCATTTCTATTTCTCTCTCTTTCTACTTTCTCTCTCCTTCGTCCTTTCTCTCTCTAAATGGATTGATTTTCTTGAGATGTCTGCTGTTTAGAGTTAAAACGAAGCTTTCTTTATTTGGTAGTAATTTGCAATACATCACCCAACATCTTACAACTGTCAATAAAACATACTAAAAATAACAGCAAAAATCATAAGGACATACGTATAGTCATTACTTTGAAGGCATTTTCGTTATTTTTCAAAACCTTGTTGTCTTTTATGTGAAAACTTTCTTTCTTTCTTTTTTTTTTCATGCCATATTAACAACTCAATTGCATTAATAAAAAAAAAAAAACCTTATTTGGAAAATCATTTTATGAAAATGGTTTGATAAGGTTGGAGCCCAATCAAGGTAAGTGAAACCTCTTAAAAAATTGCAATTCAAGCATTGAAAACCTTTTAAACCAAATTGCAATTCTTGGAAACTTTTTAAACCAATCATCTTGGCGTAAACATTATGATTGTAAAAATTAATTAAGATTTCATGCTCTAAAAATAATATATATTATAACAAATTATCTAGACCGTCCATTTCACCATAAAATAAGTGTTAACAGATATGCAAGATTTATACCATTTTTTGAGTTTCAAAATTTATTATCTAGATCGTCTATTTCAAAATTTATTGTCAGAAGTTGATTTTAGAATATCTTGGAGATTTCTATTACTAAAAGTGCTTTATGGACAAGGATTTGAGGCGAGGTTTTATTTATAGAAACTTCATCCAAAAGTAAACACTCACTTTGAAATCTCGCTTAAAAAAAAGTTTGGGCATGAAAAATCTCTTTTGTGGCACTAATATAAATTTCAACCATCGACTATAAAATTTGTAGTTCAGGAAATGGTACGGATCTTACATATCCTTGAACACTTGAAAATAAAGGGTCTAGATAATATGTGATAATATACACTAATTTTAAGATATAACATCTTATTTTTTTCCGACAACCATAATGATCAAAAGTTTTAATTGATTTAAAAGTTTTTTGATGCTATAACTATAATTTTCTATGAGTTTTGTGGTGAGCCTACAACCCTGTCAAAACATTGATTAAGTTGTATATAAAAGACATCATTGTGCATTTTAAAAATTTGATAGGGCAACGACTGAAAAATAGTACATCTCCCGAAAAAATCAAGAAGTGCGCATTATTTCAAGATGTAATATTTTTAAAACTTAAAATATTTTTTCTTAATATTTATACATCTTAAGGTCGAGACGATCTGATTGAAGGGTTTTTCAATGTCAAACCACTTGAGGATTTTTGAGGTGTGGCTTACTTCAACCGTATAAGGTTGACACATTATACTAACTCTATCTTTCTTTTTCTTCATTTTTTTTTTTCTGGTTTTTCGAATGTAAACATGGGTCCATGGATGAATTGAATATATTCCATAGATTCAATACTCAAATTTGAATTCTTTTTTTTTTTTTCATTTCATTTAAGAAACAAATCATTTTGTAGCATTGAGAAAGTATGATATTACCGTCCTAGAGTCAGTATCAAATAGCTTTCAGGTTGATTATGAATGTATAAAAGTGTGGAAAAAAAGGCAACAATTAGGTTCAACGTCGTATCGTCCAAACCATTCAAATCCTCCCAAACCTTTTTTCTCTCTCTCTAAATCTCTCTCTCCAAAAATCTCTTTCCCCTTCTGTAACTCTCTCTCACGTTCAATAAAACTCCATACTTAATGGAATAATTTATATAAGGGCGAGGCCCTAAACAGTCAACTTAAAGTGCACCTCAAAAATTCAATAAAAGAAGTTATTTCGATGCTAAAAAATCGTCAAATTGATCATCTCGACCTCTAAATGTATGTACATGAAAAAAAAAAAAATTAAATCTTAAAAATAGTTCATCTTGTATGCATTCTTTGACCGTCAATTTTCAAAATTCTCAATTGTTCATAGATCTATTCGATCTACACTATATTTTAAGCTTTAAATTTTATGTTTAGATAGAAAAATAAATTTTCAAGCCATCGCAAAAACATATTTCAATACTATGTGAAGGTGGGCCCTTACTTTGATTGTTTAGGGGATCGGAATTATACAAACCACACCCATACTTCATACTTTCTCCCTCAAAAAATTTATCTCTCCTAAAACTCTCTCTCTCTCTCTCTAACTTGTGTTGTGTGTGTAGGTGGACTGATTTTCGACCTCTTACCGGCAACAACGGGCAGCTCTCTCTCCTATTTCTTTCTTTCTCTCTCCTCTCTCTCTTTCTCTCTCCTCAATCTCTCTCTTAATTTAGGTCAGCCGGCTGCCCGTACAGATGGGCCGTTCAATCAAGCCCTGTAAATTATTATTGTTTCTTGTTTCTAAGTTTCTAACTTAGCTTCATTAACAATATTTTCATTGTATTATAAGTCTCATGTTCAAAAGTGCAAGCAATACCTTGAGCCTCAAAGTGATAAAATATTTGGCACAGAACTTTCGGCCCGAAATTTCGTCCTCTTCTTCACCAACGACCCCCATATAAAATGTTGGCCGATATTTTAATCTTGGTGCAATAATGGGCCTAGGTCCAAGCATAGTAAAATTTTGCCCTAATACTCATGTCTCAAGATAAAATTTTATTAGAACTTTTAAGACATTTATCTTTTGCTGTTTTAGGATATTTGGAGCTGAATTCAATGAAAATTTGTAGTTTTAGGATAATGGGGAGGGTCTGATGCTATTACCAATAGGAATTAAATAAATATAAGGTGAGGTTTGTATAAGGTATTGAAGGGGATATCGACACGATCGTTTTGCATCGAAATGACCTCTCATCGACCAAATTGAGATTCCGGTAAGTCACCGGAAACTCACTTTTCTATCCACCTTATACTATATATAATATACTGGTAGCGTGTACTTTTAAATTTTGCCAACAGTTTTAGTTCCCGTGGCGAAATCTTTATGATGGCTTCAAAATCCATGTTCAACCATAATTATGAAATTTAAATTCCTAACAATGGGGCAAGTCGAACAGATCTATAAGTATTTGAAAATCTTAAAACTAGATGGTCTAGATAACTTGTTACAAGATACGTTTGTTTTAGGATTAAAAATATTTTATTCTTTATATCTATACATGTCGATGTCAACATGATCAATTAGAAGCTTTTACAACTTCAAAACACTCATTTATGCTAAATCTTTGAGGTGATTTAAAAAGAAGGGAAAGCATTTTGCAGGTCCTCAGCTTCACAAAGTTGCAACTAAATTCTTACAAGAGATAACATTGCTCATGTTCGAAAATTTTGGGATCGTCAATTTATACTTTGACAATCATGTATATGAATAAAAGAGAAAAAGATTTCAAGCCCTAAAAAAAGTCTATCTGGCAACATGTTTTCTAAGCTACCATTGATTGATTTATGCTATTGAACTTCAAATTTCATAGTCAGATAAAGATATAGATTTGCAAGGCATTACAATGATTCCCGCAACCATAACAACATTTCTTAGTGGGGTTTTGAGGTGCTGCATTATCAAATATTCGCCATATGAAAACTGCACCCTATAAATAATTTGGTTTTGGGAATGAGGTTGGTGCAGATGTGGCTTGGACAAATGGCTCAACATAACATACCACCCTCCTTCTCATATCGAAATAATAATAATAGTGGGATCGTATACAATGAGATCATTTGTTTTTTATACAAAGTGGTAACAATTCCTTATAACCATTTAATGTGAAATTTGATAGCTTGGATGTATCATAGAGTCTGAAAAAATTTCTTTTGAGGTTTGAGCTCGGTCAATGGAATAATTGAAGCCATCCAATTTTACATTCAATGGTTAAAATTAATGTGACCTCTTCCTATCAAAAGTAAATGGTCTCATTCTCTACTTTCCTATAATAATAACTTTTAGTGGCAAGCGGGCCCAACCCTTGTCCCCATAATGCCCAGCTTAGACCTTGGTCCTATTAGGTACGGGCTAGTAGGCTGGGCTAAAAACAAATGATAAAAAAAAGAAAAGAAAAAAGGGAGAATGAGGGCTAAACGGCACTAGCCCTACCATAGCCGTCGGGCCAATAGTGGCTCAAGCCCTATTTTGTCAGGGCGAGGACGGTCTGGCGAGCCCTAAAAAAAGTAAGTATTTGACCCTATAAAAGAAAGGTTGGTTAATTTCGGCGTAATACCGGCCCAATTTTAGCCGTGAGCACCGACGACCAACATTTCACCTGATTTTATGCGAAACTTGCGGCCTTTCCCCTAAATACATATTGACAAAGCGATAGTTATTTTGAAGTTTGGAATTTAGAGTTGAGAGATAGCGATGGAGAGAGGTGATTGTTAATTTGGAGTTATATTAACAAAGCGAGTTGATTGGGAGTTTGGATTTTAGGGTTGTGAGAGAGTGGGAGGAATTGAAGAGGCCTACAAATCCTTGACAATATGCTTGGACACCTAGGTGTTAGAGAGAGATAGAAAAGGAAGTGAGAGAGTAGAGAGAGAAGGATGTGAGAGAGTGGAGGAGTTGAAGTAGCATAGAAGCTAGAGAG